CGCAGCGGAATGCGATGCCCATTTTTCCGCCACGCGCCGTGGCGCCGCTCGTTTGCTCTCCGCTGTCCAAGAGCCCGGGCCCCCCCACAGCGCCACCTCTGCCTCGAGGTAGCGGCTCCTCTGCTGCAGGCGCTGCCACTGCCTCTTCGCGTTGGCCACCTCCTGGCGACAGGCGTGCTTTCCACGGTCGCGTTTGCAGACCGCGGGCGGGCGACCTGCAGTAGTGCCCTGCTGCGCGATACGCTAGTCGCGCCCAACAGTCGCTACTGCATGTCCGCCGCCCGCGGTCTTTAGTGGCGCCGGTGAAAGAGATACCAAAACACTTGGAGCGCGCCGAGTTCTGGCACAGCTGCACCTTCTCTCGCGTGAGCGCGCTCTGCGCCGCGGTCATCTTCCCCTCCGCTTCCAGGCGCCGCTGCGTCTCCTCAGGGGGAGACAAACGCGGGGCGCATTTTGTTGCTGATGCGTTTTTAATAAAGTAGCAGGAATTATCCTGGAGATCCTGCAGGAAGGTGAGCTCCCAGATCTTGGCCTCCTTCCAGGCGGTCTTCGCCTCGTCCTTCCAGGACTGCGCCTCGTCCCGCGCGCTCGTGGCCTTCCGCATGTGCTCGTTGGAGCGTCTCCTGTGGGCGCGCCACGAAAGAGATGCGCTATCTAGCGCCACGCAGAAGCGGCACCAATTGGATGTTGGGTTCTGGTGCGTGATATTTTACATCATGGTCTTCAGAGCGTATTCTTTCTTGCTGTGCTACTCCGAGGCTCGGCGGACCGCCGCGCGGACCTTGTCAAAGACCGCGCGGCGGAAGGTCGCCACCAGCTGCTTGGTCCGTGGTTGTTGAAGGGACGCGCGAAGCCTCTGTTTGGTTTGGTGCTCACTGTTCCCCCAGCTTCTTGTAGTAGGCCTCGGTTTCCTTTGCTGGGTTGCCCATGGCTCCAAGCAGCGGCGTTGTAGCGGGGCTTTGAGCCTAAACACCTATGCTTGCCCGTGGCACAGGTTGCATGCGATTGCTTCCCCTTTCCGCGTTTGCTCTTCCATCCAATTTTTCATTATCTTCTCATTCCTCTCCTCCTCCTTCGTCCTCCTTGTCGTCGTCGTTCTCGTCCTCGTCCTCGTCCCACTCCTCCTCCTCCTCCTCTTCCTCCCCCTCCTCCTCATCATCATGAGCGGAATGGGCACGAGCGGCAGCAGCAGGCGAGGAATACGATGAGGACGACGCCTAAGAAAGCACGAGGAATAATCCGAATAAGAAGATGAAGGAGCTGAATACGAAGAAAACTAAGACGAGGCAGAGGAAGAAGGATACGAAGAAGACGAAAACGAAAAGGCGAAACTGTATGATCATGTGGGGGTAAGCATATATATATATATATATATAGAACCATCGCGCGCTTCGCGTGCGCTCAGGTTCTAGCAGGCCCCAGGCCTTGACGAATTCACTGCTCCACTGAAGTAGTGGACCACAGCCCACGCATGCCAATCTGAATTCCGAAAGGCTTTCGCGGAAAATGGTTGTATAGGGGGGCGGAGGCCAGATGAATCGGGTTCCCAGAAGGCCTTCTGGGAGAATAGGTTTGGGGGGCGTCTTGGGGAGCCTGTTGGGGCGTGCCGTCGTCGTCGTCGTCGTCGTCGTAATGTCGTCGTCGCCTATTGGGGCGCGCCGTCGTCGTCGTCGTCGTCGTCGTCGTCGTCGTCGTCGTCGTCGTCGTCGTCGTCGTCGTCGTCGTCTTCGTCGTTTCGTCGTCGTCGGTTCAAGAGGGCACTTGGGGCAACTTTGTGCGAAACGATGCACGGAGGGCCGTGAGAAGGCGATCAGTCATGCTCCCAATCAACTTCCCAGACAGCTGTCCTGTAGCATGATGGTACTTCGAAGCCTCCGGAGACTCGCGGGCCCATGATGGATCATGTCCCCGGAAGGCTTTCTGGGGACATGGTTTGTTAAGGTGTGTTGGGGGGTCTCTTGGGCGTTCCCTGGGGGCCCCTTGGGGGCCTCCGGGAACTCTCGGGCCCATGATGAACCATGTCCCGGGAAGGTTTTCTGGGGACATGATTTCTTGGGGTGTGTTGGGGGGCCTCTTGGGCGTTCCCTGGGAGCCACTTGGGGGTCTCTTGGGGCTTCCTGGGGGCCTCTTGGGCGCTTCACGGGGCTTCGTGGGAGCCTCGTGGTGGCCTCTAGTGGCCTACAGGCGGCCTCTAGGGCCAGAGACCTAGAAATACCGGTTGGCGGTCCACCTCTGGGCCCCCTCTTGGGGAGCTCTTGGGGCACAGTTGGGTTGTCTGGGGAGCCTCATGGGTCGTCTTGGGGCCCTCTTCGGGGCCTCGTGGCCCGTCTTGGAACGATCTGAAGGGCCTCCGAGCGAGGCCGTGAGGGAGCGCTGGGAAGCGGGAAAAGCGAGAACGCCTAAATCCTTCAAAAACCATCGAACAATGAGTGAACCATGCCTCCCAGGGCCCTCTTGGGGAGCCTCTTGAGTCCGTCCTGAAGCGTGTTGGAGTCCTCGTCGGCTGTCTTGAGGGCAGCTTGGGCGTCTTCAGGGCCTCTTGGGACCGTCTAGGGCCCTCTCGGGACCTCCATTAGCCTGTCGTGGCCTGCTCGGGCCACCTCGGGACACCTCTGGGCCTTGTCTTGGCGCGCTCTTGGGGCACACTTGGGTTCTCTGGGGAGCCTCCTGGGCTCCTGGGCCGTCTTGGGGCCCTCTTCGGGGCCTCGTGGGCCTTCTTGGAGCGATCTGAAGGACCTCCGAGGCCGTGAGGGAGCGCTGGAAAGCGGGAAAAGCGAGAACGCCAAACTGCAAAACACTCGAAAAATGAATGAACCTTGCCTCCCAGGGCCCTCTTGGGGAGCCTCTTGAGTCCGTCCTGGAGCGTGTTGGAGTCCTCGTCGGCTGTCTTGAGGGCAGCTTGGGCGTCTTCGGGGCCTCTTGGTACCGTCTTGGGCCCTCTCGGGGCCCCCTTAGCGTGTCGTGGCCTGCTTCGGGGCGGGCTCGGGCCGCCTCGGGAACTCTGGACCCCCCCCCCGCAACCCCCGGTGGGCACCGACGGCTCGCCCCCCCCCGGGCCTACTCCGAGATAGAGAATCATGTTCCCGGGAAGCTTTCCGGGAGCATGATTTGTTCGGCTCTCTCTCAAGAGGGGGGCCTCTGGGGGCTTACCGAGGGGCGCCTTTTGGCCTTGTCGGCAAGCCTATTGGAAACATGGTTGGGGCGGTGGGCGGAAGCCCAAGGAATCATGTTCCCGGAAAGCTCTCTGGGAACTACGATTTACCGAGGTGTTTGGGGGGCCCGCAGGGGGCTTCCCTGGGGGCCTCTTGAGGGCCTTTTGGGGCTTCCAGGGGGCCTCTTGGGAGCCTCACGGGGCTTCTTGGGAGCCTCTTGATGGCCGGAGACCTTGAAATGACGCGCTCTTCGGGCCCTCTTGGGTCGCTCTTGGGGCTCTCTTGGGGCGCTCTCGAGGCCCTCTTGACTTATCTGGGGAGCCTCCTGGGCCGTCTCTGGGCTGTCTTGGGAGCCTCTTCGGCCGTCTTGGAACGATCTGAAGGGCCTCTGACGCGGTCCGGGACCGTGGGGAGGCGGAACATGGGAGAGCGTAAAAATGATTCAAAAACCATTGGACAATTTATGTTTTTCGGCTTCTGGGGCGTTTTGGAGGGGCTCTGGAGGAGCTCTTGGGGCGTTTTGGCGGCGTCGTCGGCCCTCCTGAGGCCATCTTCGGCGTGCCCGGGGCCTCTGGGGGCTGTCTTTGGGCGCCCTGGGAACCCGGAAATCATGTTCCTGGAGAGGCTTCTGGGAACATGATTTCGAACGGGGCCCTCTTGGGTCTCCCTGAGGCCGTCTTGGGGGCCTCCTGGGCCGGCTTTGGGGCCTCTTGGGTCGTTTTGGGGGGTTCCGTAAGCCCCACAGGACGACCCTTTTGGGCCGTCTTGGGCCCTCTTCGGTCTCTCTTGGGCTGTCTTGGGGCTCCGCGGGGGCGTCTGGGGCACTGTGAAGACGAAGCAAGCGAGTATGCTGGAAATGTACGTTTTACGAGGGGCCGATGTTTGCATCTTGAAGGCCCTCTTGGGGCCCTCTTCGGCCATCTTCAAGCCATCTCGGGCCGCCCTCTGGCCTCGCTGAGGCTGTCTTGTGGGCATCTTGGGCGTCCTGGGAGCCCGGAAGTTATGTTCCCGGAGAGGCTTCGGGGAACATGATGTCTTGGGCCTCCCTGAGGCCGTCTTGAGGGCCTCCTGGGCTGGCTTCGGGGCCTCTTGGGCCGTCTCGGGGGGTTCCGTGAGCCTCACAGGACGACCCGTTCGGGCCGTCCTGGGCCCTCTTGGGTCTCTCTTGGGCTGTGTTGGGGCTCCTCGGGGGCGTCTGGGGCACTGTGAAGACGAAGCCAGCGAGCGTGCTGGAAATGTACGTTTTACGAGGGGAATGGGCCGATGTTTGCATCTTGAAGGCCCTCTTGGGGCCCTCTTCGGCCATCTTCAAGCCATCTCGGGCCCTCTGGGGCCTCGCTGAGGCTGTCTTGTGGGCCTCTTGGGCGTCCTGGGAGCCCGGAAGACATGTTCCCAGAGAGGCTTCGGGGAGCATGATGTCGAACGAGGTCATCTTGGGCCTCCCTGAAGCCGTCTTGGGGGCCTCCGCTCTTGGGCGTCTTCGGGGTCTCTTGAGACTTTCTTGACCATCTGTACGGCCCGCGTGGCCTGGCGTCGGCAATTTGGAAGCGGCCCGGGGCAGTCCCGAGGGGTTTGTGACCCCCCAAAGGTTCCGGGGGGCGCCCATGGGGGATGACGGCACCGGCCCGGCCCCCCCCGGCCTACTCCTATATATATATATATATATATATATATATATATATATACAGATACACTGACACATACACATAAACGTGCGTATACATATACATTTACATTTACATTTACAGTTACATATACATAGACCTGGACGTATACATATGAGTATGAACATACATGTCCATCTTCTACATGTACCCAATACGGCGAACGCGGCAACCAGGTCGCCACCTCGCGGCCGTCTTCCAAACGCACCCTGAGCGTGCCCGCCACCTGCGGCGCGGTGCATGGGCCAAGGGGTCTGCGCCAGAAGAGATGCTGCTACCGTCCCTGTTTCAACACCATGTGATACTTCCTACCACCACTACGACCACCATACGATGACGGTGATGATGATGATGATGAGGACGACTGCGCCCACGACTCCAGCTGCAGATGCGACAGCCATGACGACTAAGAGGTCTGCTATCACTACCAATACATCTGCGGCTGCTGCTACGTGCTACTACACCCACTACTACTACGACTACGACGACGACGACGACGACATCTACTACTACTACTACTACTACTACTACTACTACTACTACTACTACTGCTACTGCTACTGCTACTGCTACTGCTACTGCTACTGCTACGACGACGACTACTACTACTACTACTACTACTACTACTACTACTACTATACGACTACGACTACGACTACGACTGCTACTCATACGACAACTGCTACTACTACTACTACTACTACTACTAATAATAATAATAATAATATTACGACTAATAATAGTACCACTGCACGCCATAGTGATACTGCAAATGCTAGCACAGCTGCTACTCATACTGCTGCTACTACTACTACTACTACTACTACTACTACTACTGCTGCTGCAACTACTACTACTACTAATACTGCTACTACAACAACAACAACTACTACTAGTACTACGATTACTACGATTACTACTACTACTGCTGCTCCTACTACTACTACTACTACTACTACTACCACTACTACTACTAGAACTACAACTACAACTGCAACTGCAACTACAACTACAACTACTACTACGACGACTACTACTACTACTACTACTACTACTACTACTACTACTACTACTACTACTACTACGACTACGACTGCTACTCATACGACAACTGCTACTACTACTACTACTACTACTGACTGCTGCTATCTTGCTGACTACTACGCCTACTATACTACTACTTTGCTACTATATTACACTACTACTACCTAATAGCTACTACCACTACTAATACTACTACTACTACTACTACTATACTACTACTAACTATTGCTACTACTGGTTTCTACTACGCCTACTACGGCTACTACGTACTACTACTAACTACTACGACTAAAGACACGACGACGACTACGACGACGAACTACTACTACTACTACTACTACTTCTACTTCTACTACTACTACTCTACTACTGTGACCACTACTACTGACTACAACTACGTACTACTACTCTACTACATCCCACAACTAACTACGACTACCACTAACTACTACTACGACCTACTACTACTACTAACTACTCTACTCTACTTACTTCTCTTACTACTATAGCCTACTACTATTACTACTACCACTACTACTACTACTACTACTACTACTAAT